CGTTTGCTTGTTCCCTGCCAGAGTTCAGCTTCAATAGCAGATCATTGAATTTCTGCTCAAACATCTGAGTGAAGTTCTACTCCATTCCTGATAACAGGCCTTCCATCCGCCTGTTGTTCTCTTCAAGCTCCACCCTCAAGTCTTTCTTGATTTGCTGGTGTTCAGATTTGGAAGTGTGTAGGGATTCTATCAATTCCTGTAGCTTGATTTCTTGTTTCCTGACTTGCTCTTCGATGGTGCGAAATCTTGTGCTCTCTGCCATGATTGTGTTGCAAATTCCAAGGATCTACTGCTCTGATGCCACTTTGTCACGAACTCAAGGTTGTTTCTGGAATTATGTTGATTGATCCAGGATGAATTGGTAGAAGTTGGGGGAAATGGAGAAGGAGCAGGGAATTGAAGGTAGAGAGAGAGAAGGAAGAGGATTCAGAAGAGAGGAAGTGGAAGAAATGATCAAATCTTTTATGTTATTCTCATTCATGTGGGCCCCGCTTAATATAACCAATTCTAACGGTTTGTGTCAGACGATTACAACTGAATTACCTAACTAATGGCTCATTACATGAAACGACATCGTTTACTAGTACTTAAGCAAGACCAAAACAGCATCGTTTATACAATTCTATTGAATTAGCAGCCTAATGCTCAAATTGAACCTTTATTATGCTGCAGTCCTTATACTTAGCAGCCTGACAATCCCCTCCTCTTAACAAAAGACTTGTCCTCAAGTCTGAAAAGCAGGAAATTGTCGTTCAATGAAAGACTTGTCCTCCCAAGAAGCTTCCTCAGGCTTTAGTTGATTCCACTTGATCAAGAACTGAATAACAGGTTGTCCATTTCTCAAGATGACTCTTCTGCGCATGACTGACTCTGGTTGTAATGGACATTGGTCCTGTGCGTCAAATTCTGGTAACTTAGTAGAACTTCCTTGCACCAGTCCCAGTTTCTTCTTAAGTAGCGAAACATGGAACACAGGATGTATTCTAGTGTCTGCTGGCAACTTCAGTTTATAAGCCACTGAACCGACTTTCTCCTCTATCTGGAAGGGTCCATAATATTTGGCAGACAGCTTGAGGCACTTCCTTACTGCCACTGTTTGTTGCCTATATGGTTGAAGTTTCAGAAAAACCCAATCCCCTACTGAAAATTCCCTCTCACTTCTGTGTTGATCAGCAAAATATTTCATCCTTTGCTGAGCCTTGGCCAGGTTGTCTCTGATGCAATTGGATATCCTGTTTCTTTCCTGTAGTAAATTGGAGGCTGCAGGGGTTTGGAATCCTATACGAGTTAATCCCCAATGCTGTACTAGTGTTTCTTGACAATCCAAGCCTGTTTTCTCCTAGTGGTTTGACATTCTCCTTAGAACTCTTATTCTGCAGTTTCAATGCATACTCTTGCCACTGAGACAGTTCAAATGCTTCAGCCAGAGTAGCAGGTTTCAACATCTTGATCATAGGTTTGATCTCTTCTTTCAGTCCACTTATGAAACTAGAAATGAAATAAGTCTCATCCAGATTTCGATTTCTTATCATCATCAAGGCCTTTAACTCCTCAAACTTCTCCTGATATTCTTCAACATTGCCTATCTGCTGTAGTTTATTAAATTCTTCCACTATATCTCGACAGGTCCTATCATTAAACCTGCAGCATAGCAGATTCGCAAATTCTTCCCAACTCAGCTTAGGTTTCTCAATTTTTACTCCCTGGAACCATTTATCAGCCCTGCCTTCTAAATACATTTCAATAACATCTACTTTATGTTCTTCTGGAACTTGATAGTTCAAAAAATATTTGTTGCATTTACGTAACCATTCTCTAGGATTTTCTCCAGCAAACATCTGTAAATCAATCTTAGGAGGATTTGGAATGTGAAACTTACTCCAATCCTTCCTGAAGGATCTCTGAGCCTCGCAGTCTGTGGTTAACCTCTGATGAGCTGGTGGAGTTGGTAGGAGTGGCGGCTGGTCTATCATTCTGCCACTCCCCTCGTTTGCTTGTTCCCTGCCAGAGTTCAGCTTCAATAGCAGATCATTGAATTTCTGCTCAAACATCTGAGTGAAGTTCTGCTCCATTCCTGATAACAGGCCTTCCATCCGCCTGTTGTTCTCTTCAAGCTCCACCCTCAAGTCTTTCTTGATTTGCTGGTGTTCAGATTTGGAAGTGTGTAGGGATTCTATCAATTCCTGTAGCTTGATTTCTTGTTTCCTGACTTGCTCTTCGATGGTGCGAAATCTTGTGCTCTCTGCCATGATTGTGTTGCAAATTCCAAGGATCTACTGCTCTGATGCCACTTTGTCACGAACTCAAGGTTGTTTCTGGAATTATGTTGATTGATCCAGGATGAATTGGTAGAAGTTGGGGGAAATGGAGAAGGAGCAGGGAATTGAAGGTAGAGAGAGAGAAGGAAGAGGATTCAGAAGAGAGGAAGTGGAAGAAATGATCAAATCTTTTATGTTATTCTCATTCATGTGGGCCCCGCTTAATATAACCAATTCTAACGGTTTGTGTCAGACGATTACAACTGAATTACCTAACTAATGGCTCATTACATGAAACGACATCGTTTACTAGTACTTAAGCAAGACCAAAACAGCATCGTTTATACAATTCTATTGAATTAGCAGCCTAATGCTCAAATTGAACCTTTATTATGCTGCAGTCCTTATACTTAGCAGCCTGACAATCCCCTCCTCTTAACAAAAGACTTGTCCTCAAGTCTGAAAAGCAGGAAATTGTCGTTCAATGAAAGACTTGTCCTCCCAAGAAGCTTCCTCAGGCTTTAGTTGATTCCACTTGATCAAGAACTGAATAACAGGTTGTCCATTTCTCAAGATGACTCTTCTGCGCATGACTGACTCTGGTTGTAATGGACATTGGTCCTGTGCGTCAAATTCTGGTAACTTAGTAGAACTTCCTTGCACCAGTCCCAGTTTCTTCTTAAGTAGCGAAACATGGAACACAGGATGTATTCTAGTGTCTGCTGGCAACTTCAGTTTATAAGCCACTGAACCGACTTTCTCCTCTATCTGGAAGGGTCCATAATATTTGGCAGACAGCTTGAGGCACTTCCTTACTGCCACTGTTTGTTGCCTATATGGTTGAAGTTTCAGAAAAACCCAATCCCCTACTGAAAATTCCCTCTCACTTCTGTGTTGATCAGCAAAATATTTCATCCTTTGCTGAGCCTTGGCCAGGTTGTCTCTGATGCAATTGGATATCCTGTTTCTTTCCTGTAGTAAATTGGAGGCTGCAGGGGTTTGGAATCCTATACGAGTTAATCCCCAATGCTGTACTAGTGTTTCTTGACAATCCAAGCCTGTTTTCTCCTAGTGGTTTGACATTCTCCTTAGAACTCTTATTCTGCAGTTTCAATGCATACTCTTGCCACTGAGACAGTTCAAATGCTTCAGCCAGAGTAGCAGGTTTCAACATCTTGATCATAGGTTTGATCTCTTCTTTCAGTCCACTTATGAAACTAGAAATGAAATAAGTCTCATCCAGATTTCGATTTCTTATCATCATCAAGGCCTTTAACTCCTCAAACTTCTCCTGATATTCTTCAACATTGCCTATCTGCTGTAGTTTATTAAATTCTTCCACTATATCTCGACAGGTCCTATCATTAAACCTGCAGCATAGCAGATTCGCAAATTCTTCCCAACTCAGCTTAGGTTTCTCAATTTTTACTCCCTGGAACCATTTATCAGCCCTGCCTTCTAAATACATTTCAATAACATCTACTTTATGTTCTTCTGGAACTTGATAGTTCAAAAAATATTTGTTGCATTTACGTAACCATTCTCTAGGATTTTCTCCAGCAAACATCTGTAAATCAATCTTAGGAGGATTTGGAATGTGAAACTTACTCCAATCCTTCCTGAAGGATCTCTGAGCCTCGCAGTCTGTGGTTAACCTCTGATGAGCTGGTGGAGTTGGTAGGAGTGGCGGCTGGTCTATCATTCTGCCACTCCCCTCGTTTGCTTGTTCCCTGCCAGAGTTCAGCTTCAATAGCAGATCATTGAATTTCTGCTCAAACATCTGAGTGAAGTTCTGCTCCATTCCTGATAACAGGCCTTCCATCCGCCTGTTGTTCTCTTCAAGCTCCACCCTCAAGTCTTTCTTGATTTGCTGGTGTTCAGATTTGGAAGTGTGTAGGGATTCTATCAATTCCTGTAGCTTGATTTCTTGTTTCCTGACTTGCTCTTCGATGGTGCGAAATCTTGTGCTCTTTGCCATGATTGTGTTGCAAATTCCAAGGATCTACTGCTCTGATGCCACTTTGTCACGAACTCAAGGTTGTTTCTGGAATTATGTTGATTGATCCAGGATGAATTGGTAGAAGTTGGGGGAAATGGAGAAGGAGCAGGGAATTGAAGGTAGAGAGAGAGAAGGAAGAGGATTCAGAAGAGAGGAAGTGGAAGAAATGATCAAATCTTTTATGTTATTCTCATTCATGTGGGCCCCGCTTAATATAACCAATTCTAACGGTTTGTGTCAGACGATTACAACTGAATTACCTAACTAATGGCTCATTACATGAAACGACATCGTTTACTAGTACTTAAGCAAGACCAAAACAGCATCGTTTATACAATTCTATTGAATTAGCAGCCTAATGCTCAAATTGAACCTTTATTATGCTGCAGTCCTTATACTTAGCAGCCTGACAATTTCTATACAAGGTCGAAGGTGAATGTTGTTTCGGCTCCAAACTCACCGGCTTTTTCCACTGGATTTGTGTTTTTCTTCTATTTTACTTTTTATCTTACTGCCCCATCAGTAAAGTATCCAAAATATCCCTATTTAAGTGCTCAATTAGAAACTTGATTAAAATTATAAGGTGTTGCCGCAACGTTGCTCAATTGAAATCGATAAATAAATATAAAGATTAAATTAATCAAAAAAATTAAATAAAAACTAAATTGATAATAAAAAAAAAGTTTAGAAACTAAATTGGCCATTTTACCTCTATCTAATCCCAAAACTAATTATTCCTTTTACGAACATCCAATTTGTAACAGAATAGACATAGGCAGTTGATGAATTATATAATTTCATTTCCTTTTCTCTCCATATTCATTCGCATAATTCTTGCTTTTCAAGTTACCAACTCATAATCAAGAACCAAATCCTCCTACTAAGAACCCTAATTTCTCTCATATCTTCTCTCGTTCGTCGCCAGATCAACTCAACGCAGAGTAGAAAGCCAAAAGGAATCGAAGAGGAAAAAGAATGTTAGTAATCGAGGAAGCAGTTCTAGAGGCGGAATTACTGCGCCGAGGCAATTCGCGGCCGTTTGATGAACTCATCTCCGAATTCATGTCCAAAGTCCAGCCTTCTCACATCTTCGATTCCTGCGCCGGCATCGCTGTTCTTCTCACCGGGGCAAGTTTTTCTTTGTTCCTAATCTCTTTCTCAATTCGGTTTATTCTTTTCATTTTTTTCCTTGTTCGTTAAGAGCCGGTCAAATCTGGTAATTGGCCGTGTTATTGATTTGGTTTTCTATAAGCAAAATTGAGAGTAGTGGTATAGTAAGCTTCGTAGTTGGGAAAAAGGAATTCAGTTTTAATGATTTTAATGAAGAGTTAGTTCGATAGGATTTATTTAGAAAATTTTGCACTATTTTTTTATTAGCTCTTTGTATGCTCAAATATCTGGTGAATTGTGATTGATAGACATTTGATTGCCAATTAGGATCTTATTCAGTAGGTAAATGGATGATTACATTTGCTTTTGCTTTCTGTGGCCAGATTGTTGGAGTTCTGTTTGATCTTTTTCGCATGTCACTGTTTTCAGTTACGATTTATGTGAGGATGGATATTTTGTGAAATTAGGAGTTGACATTCTGATGAAAACTATTGTCTTGGAACGCATTCATGTGTACAGTCTAGAAAGCTCATTGCTAATTTGCGTTTAATTCATGCAACATTGACAGTCAGGAGTCTGTTAGTGGAAGTTGTTGCCATCATGAAGGTAATCAAGTAATTGGTGATTGGATAAGCAGTTCAAAGTTTGGGGCAATGGAAGTTGACTTTGAGAATAAATTCAGTGGAATAGATAAAATGTCTTCTAACTCTTTGTTTGTTTATGTGTGCTATAGTTGATGATTTTATAATTTAGCAATATATTTACTCTCAGTACTCTTTTTGCTTGTGAATAAAAACGAAAATAAGAAGGTTAAATTTTTCTTCTCCTAGCAGTTTTTATTCTCTTAATATGGGGAATTCTAATCATCAATGGTTGCATGTTCTGTTATTGCAGAATATAGACCTTAGTCCAACAGAACATCTGGTTGGATTTGCAATTCTCCACCAGGCATATTCTTCCCAGCAGACTAGTTTGCACCCGCGCATTTCTCTGCTTGTGGAAGTAAGTATGCACATGTCTTCTCCTCATTGTATTTTTTATTCTCAGGGATTTGTTTATGCTCTTTTAATGGTCAATTTTTAATAATCATGCACTATGTAAGATGGTTCAGCTGTGCAGTGTGCACATCAAATGCATTTTTTACTTTTTTATTCAGCGATTGTAGAAAAGCTGACAGTAGTATTTCAATTAACGTTTTTTATGGAGTGCTAAGAGTCATTGGACTGTCTGCTGTATGAAACACTGATAGTCTGGTGAATTTACATAATAACATGAACCTGATCTGGAGGCCTATTCATTACTGTAGGAAAGACTGCTTTTCAAAACCTATTTTTGCTTCTAGAATAAGAAATTGTTGACAAATTAATAGTAACAAATCCTCTCATATAGGCTATGTGATGTTGGCCTTTGTGAATTTCTGAGGCTTAACATGACCTTTCTCGTGTTGGCTTGTGATATCTCATCTTGCATTATCACATATGGTTTATATACTAAGTTTAGTATAAAATGGATGTGTAGTTGCTGGACTTGTATCTGGTTCCCCCTTTCCCCGTACACTGAAAGAAAAGCAAACAGAGAAGAGACAATAAATTGGAAATTTGCGTTAAGAGAGATGTTTATATTTTCTGATATGACATTTTTGTTATCCATTTAATGCTGCAGAACTTTTGACTGTTTCAATAACTGTCTGCTATGGAATGTTATTGGTGATGGTTGACTTTCATATTTCCTCCTGCTATTGTGGGTTTGTAGGCAGCATCCAATGAAGAAGCTGAAAATTTTGAAAGAGGTTTTATTCTTCAGTAGTTAGGCTCCACCAGCTCTACAAATGCAGCAGAGGTATTGCTTAAGGATCCAACTTGTGTGTCTAGCTTTATGGGGTTGAGAAGCTCTAATGATTCTGTCTTTGTCAGCTTCTAATCATTATTGCTCAAGTTGATATAGGAAGGCATGTGCTAGTGGCTTTTCTGGCTTCTAATGCTTCAAATTCTAGGTTATTTGGAAATTTTGGACTATAAATTGTCTGTTCCAGCCACATTTAGAGTGTATTTTTCATTTAAATCTAGGGTGTTGGCAAACGTATATTTTAGGAAAATCTGCCTAAAACTTGTAGCATATTTGTCTTTGTTGGACAGTCAGAAGCATAAGGTATTGATTTAGTAGGTTGACCAGAAGCAGTTGAAGTACATTAAGAAAAAAAAAAGAACAGATTACTGGCTGGTTTTTATGGGTACACTTTTTAGATGAGGCGGTTATTGAATTCTTGCATTCCTGGATCTCGTGTCCCTCAAAATTTGCAGGAAAAAAGTTGGTTGCACAGAATATTCTCAATAACTCCTCATTAACTGCCCGTTTTCTCTAAAAGTTTTTCTTGTTAAACAAACTTGCACAAGAAAGTGGTTTCTCTTTACTTTCCTTCATTTTAGTTTCCCATAAATTTCCTGCTAATCAAATAGAGCCTTAGGGAACTTTTTTGCACTCAGGATGATGATTTCAACAAACAAGTAGCACAGTGGATGTGTTTAGCGTGGATGATGATTTAGAACTGTTCATGTTTTTAGAGGGAATAAATAAGTGATACTCTGAACAATGACTCTCTCCCCCCCCCCTTCTCTCTCTCTCTCTCTCTCTCTCTTGCTGTTACCCACATAAGATAAAATTGGGAAGTGTTTCAATTGTATTTCTTCTCTCTTTTCTTGTTTTAGCTTAGATTTTTTGTAATCTTTGGCATTGTCCACGCCAACTTACAAGCTCATGTGAGAAGAGACTAAAAGTCTCTAGCTACCCCTGTAGCGACAAATGGTTTATTGCCTGCACATACTTCAAGCATATCATATCAATTTTGTAGATCTTCCTCCTACAAATGCTTTTTATTAAGCGATGCAAAGCAGAAAATTCCTCCTCTGTTGAGAGGAATATCCCTTACAGTTTCTTTTGTTTTTTTTCCCCTGCTTTTTTCTTTTTTCTTGGACAAATATTTCGTTCCTCTATTTGGACAATTGAAGATCTGTGCATTGACTGTGCAACTGGAGCTAATCCATCTATTGAAATATCATCATCCTCTAGTTATCCATGGAGTGTTTATTTTTTATTCTAGGCTTAAATAATTTTTCTGTTGGCTTTTTTTGATGCAGTTCCTGAAATTGTCTACTGCAGACTACATAAGAAACTTTGATCCTTCATCACACGTGAGTCGTATTTTATCATAACATCAGACTTTACATTTTCTCAACTAATATGTCCTAATATGAATTTGTCAGACTTTTCCTCCTAGAGAGCAGCTGGGGCAGCAGTATTGTAGTGAAGTCAACAGTTGAAACTTTAGTAGGTTCAAATGACTCTGGACCAGCTTCACTACAATACTAAAGTTTCAACTGTTGAGGATTTGATTGCTAAGGTTTGAAGGGGCCTCTTTAACCTGCTGAAGAAAAGGTGTTTATACTGTTTTATCAATTTATGTGGTGTTTAAAATTGAAAACTATTATATGCTGTGGCAAGTGATTGCTAAAACTTCATATCCGTACTGTTATCCAGCAAATCTTATTGGGGTTGACAGCAAATGAGCTAAAAGACTAGCTGCCAAAAGGATATCTGCTAGTATGTTGTTTTATGGGCCTATTAATGTCTTCTGTTTTTTTTTCTACCTAAGAGCTTTTCTATTTGTTATCAGGAACTGGTGAAGATTATCCTAACCTTGCTGTTGAAGTTCTCATTAAGTTTGAGTTACCTAAAATTTCGGAGTATGTTCATGGTTTGTTTGAAAATTTTACCATGCTTATAAAATTAATTTTCTGTTTTGGAATGCAGGTATTATGCTGTTCTTTATGGTATAGACAACTTCGCCTAGATTTAGACAATTTTGTCACATTAGCATAGACAACTTCAGGTTCTAATTTTCATATGATGAGATGAATTTAAACCATACTCTCCCATGCCGGGGAATTCTGCAAGCTTAAAGAGAAGGTCAAATGCTGTTTCAGGATCACCATCCTGCAACAGATTATATAAGAAACACGATGTGAAGAGCTAATTATACACATATAAGGAATAGAGGAAAATGTGTAAATACATTAGATAGTTGAGTAAGGACCTTGATGTCTTCCCAGAAAGTTGAACCACGTTTTATCCATGGCTTTAATAATCCAAGTTTAGGTTGTTTAACAGCTTTAGGAAGCTTGTTAACCGTTTCTATCAAGTTAGAGTTCACATCCATACCAGTTAGAGTTAACAGCTTTAGGTTGTTTTGTTTTGGATCCAAAATAAAATCATCATTACCATGCTGGTATAGATGTGAACTCTAACTTGATAGAAATGGTCCAAAACAAAATCATCATTACCATGCTGGTATGGATGTGAACTCTAACTTGACAGAAATGGTTAACAAGCTTCCTAAAGCTGTTAAACAACCTAAACTTGGATTATTAAAGCCGTGGATAAAACGTGGTTCAACTTTCTGGGAAGGCATCAAGGTCCTTACTCAACTATCTAATGTATTTCCACCTTTTCGTCTATCCCTTATATGTGTATAATTAGCTCTTCACATCGTGTTTCTTATATAATCTATTGCAGGATGGTGATCCTGAAAAAGCATTTGACCTTCTCTTTAAGCTTGCAGAATTCCCCGGCATGGGAGAGTATGGTTTAAATTCATCTCATCATATGAAAATTAGAACCTGAAGTTGTCTATGCTAATGTGACAAAATTGTCTAAATCTAGGCAATTGACCAGGCTTGTTAATCCAGATATGATCGATAAGCGTTTGCAACGTTTTACACCCCCACCTGAATGCATTCGGAATTTCATAAGAAGCTGTTTGCCATCCACAGCCACGGTGATCATTTACTTATTTACTGTGTCTATTTTTTTAAGCTCTCTTCCCTTCCTTTGAGAGTTGGTGAACTCGATAATGTTTGAATTTATCTTTTTCAGGATACGTCTCATCAAACAAGATTGGTACTGTGCTTCTTGGATAAGCTGATCAAGAAAGAGATTATCAAGGGTGAGTGTACTTGCTTAAAGTTTTACCGTGTGAATCTTACCTATACTAGAGCTGGGAGTTTGCAATTGAGATTCTAATTGAGTTCCATTGATTTGGTCCACTTATTTGTTTCCTGATTGGACTGATTATTTTGTGGTAGTAGTTGTAATTGGGGTTGGGAGTTGTGGGCTGTTCTAATTGAGTTAATTTTTGCATTTGTTCTTGGTGGTTGTTTTCTGAAGGTGAGTATTTTACTGTTAGGTTGGGTTGTGTTTTTTATAGCTTTTGGCTTTTATTTTTTGGTATCCGAAGTGGCTCAAAATTTATTAATCATGTTCTGTGTTTTTTTTTTTCCTAAAGTCTTTGAGTTGGTGGTTCCCTGACTAATTGGGTTGGTTTTTGTCTTTTAATTTGTTATTTTGTTGTTGCATGTCTTGTTTGTAGATGGTTTCATATGTAAAACTTGCAGTTTTGGGTTTTATCTGATTAGAGCCCTTTATTTTTCTGTGCTTGATTAAGAAGTCTAGGTTGAAGTATGTATTGTCTTTGTTAAATTTCATCAAGTAGTGTGTTGAGAAGGATGAATCTTGGTGCAATTGTTTTTGGTTAGGGCAGAGGTTTTATACATCAGAAGAGGGTTTGTTCAAATTAGAAATAAAGTTCTCAGGGTGTGGTTGAATTCAAAGCCGTTATGCATAATTTACAGATAGATAGTATATGCAAGTCTTATGTGTTTCTAATATGCATAATTCTTCGGTCTTTGTGATCTTCATTGGTATTCTCAGGGTGTGGTTTTTGGATTCTTAGAGAGTTAGTTTTTTGGGACTGCCTGGAGATGACATAGGATTAGTTATTATTCAATTCCCATTCTAACACCATGGGGAACTTGAATTTAACTGCTTGGACTACTTGATCCTTCTGACATTTGTGGGTTTGCATTCCTGATTTGGTCATCTGATTGTTGAGATGGTTTGTAGAACTTTTCTCGTTTCAAATAACAATGCTGGATTTATTCTTGGCTCTGGCTTTTCCATTTGTGGATTTTGTGAACTTAGATTAAGTTGCTTTAAAACCACTATTATCCATAACATGGAAAAGCATAAAGACCTTTGGGACTAGATGAGTAACACAATTTTGGATTGATGGACTATGCTTAAAACGTATCAATCAATCTACAAGCCTCATGTTTAATTAATCATATGAATTATTTTGTAATTCTCATGTCTTTGAGCCGAAGACTTTCCAGTATTGCATGTTATCATTCTAGAGGCTAGAATATGTTAGTAACTTTTAGGATAAGTGCATATGGTGGTCTTCATTTTGTCTCTCTTAATTTATTGCAATGGTGCCGAGCTTTTCCGTTTTGAATTTATTCGGTTATTTATTCGGTTGGAGGTAATATTTCCATTCCTTTTTCCTTCCCTTATTCTATTTGGATTAAGCTAACATGTCCCTCCTTAATGTATTCAGCTGGAGAGAGCAATTTCTTGTTTTGTTAATTTATGTCATTGCTTTTCAGGTTCTATTTATCCAAGGCTAAGATAAGGATAACATTGAAAACCTGTGAATCAGTGGTCCATTTACGGAGAATTTCATCTCCCTCATCCTCAGCACTGTTTTGTGGCCAGGCCGGACATGGACCTTTGACCAGAGTTGTTGAAACTGTTGTTTTCTACTGGCATAACATGTACTTTTTGGCCGTATGTATACATTCGTCAGCATCCCTTCATGGAGTTTATCTAGCAAATACCTACGATTGTG